ATATATAGTTTTGATTGGTCAATTTAAACAAAATTACTCTCCAGCTATTCATATACTTTCCTCCTCAATTTTATCCGTACAATTACAAGTATAAATCTAATAGTATTAATAATTTTTAACAAAACTATTTCTTTTAATTATTTATCATTTACAACCATTATTTTATTGAGTTCTATCTTTGTTGCAAACTAAAAATTCAACTCATCCATTAAAAAAATAAAATAAATCCCACCATGGATATGAAGACCCAAGGCAATTGCTCGAAATATCAGGAAAAATCCTAGCAAAAATTTGACTTGAAAAGATTATACAAGAGCCTAAAATAGTAGTTGAGCTGCATTATTGATCACAAAAATGTCTAAATAATGTCTTTCAATGACCAAACCCTAGGGCCACTGTGTGAAATCTAAAGTATATGAAGAAAAACAAAGCATAAACTCTATGGTCGATTTTTAAAGGCCACAAAATTAATTACAATAATGGCACAATTAATTGGAAAGGCACTCGTGTAGTAAACCACGTGGCTACGTGTCATTTTTTATGCTATTTATCAATATCATGTGCTAAAAACATTTTATTTTGGGTTCTTGGTTAAAAAGAAGTTCTATGTTATTAATTAACTCTTTAGAGTTGACATAATGAAAACGGTTATAGCACAAATAATTAGTTTTTATTCATCTAAATAAGTTGTCACCCTTTCCAATTCCATTCAGATTAGAACAAGTGGCTTTATTTTAGAAAACTAGCCATTTTTCTTGTTTAGTTGCTTGTCAGAAAATTGGTGGATAATATTGTCACAGCCACAAACAAGAAAAGTATATGGAACTCATTAATTTGTACTGTATTTTTGTGCAGAAACTGTGTCCCTTCTTTGATGTGATAATTGATTGTTAGACTGTTTGACCGCGTGTCGCAACACGGTCAAAATATAATATTTATTTTCCTTAATCGACTTCTACCAACTAGTAGTAGTAGTGAGCAAGGGTCGAACCCACAAGAAGTGTGGAATTTAGTTGTAATTATTTTCTTTAATTGAAATCATGTAAATACTAATGAAAGGGGGGTTTTGGTGGAAATTAATTAACTAATAGAAATGTGAATGACGGGATCAACTCGAATGCAGCAAATAAAGATGATAATCAAATAAATGGGAAGCTTCTAGTCCATGGTTCCGTCTACACCCTCGATTGACTGGCTTAATCAATTTTAGAATCAGATTTCGCTATCTCAGGAATTACTAGCCCTAGGTAACGACACGGTCTGTTACCCGAATTTTTCCTTATTTTTAATTTAATCGCGAGACGCTCGACGATTAAACCTGACTTTTTGTACAGTCCAGAAAAACGTTTTCAAGATTTAATACAATTAGCCGCTTTACGATTTAGAAAAATAGGCTAGACTAATTAGTGAACTCAACCGCGTTCGTTCACTTAATTAGGCCGTGTTATCCCCGGTAGTTACCATCTTCCGGTTACCTCTTATGAACTAAACACAACAACAATTACGGATTGCAGGCCTAATTCAGATGTAGATATGAAAAGCCTAATTTAGGTGATCAATCTAAACAAGACTAACACATCATGGTTAATTATTCAAAATAACACAAGCAATTCCAAAAAGATATTGAATTCATCAACCATAAAAATCAATCAAAACATAGTCAATCATAGGGTTCGATTTCCCCGGGACTAGAATAAAAGGACTACTCACTCATAGTGTTCAATAACATAATCATGAATTTAATTACACAAGAAAGAAGAAAAGAAAAGAGAATAAAATTCTTCTCTGTTCGTTCACTGGGTCCGATGCTTTTTTTCTCTTCACAGTTCCGCAGCCGCAATGTCCAGGTCAAAAGAGTGAATGATCCCCTTTCACGCAAGTCTCCTCCTTTTATCTCTATCCTTTCCTTTCTTTTAATTATTTTGTGTCTCTTTCCTCCTATTTCCAGGTAAAGTCAAGTAATATAATGAGTGGGCCTTTTTCTTCATCCTTTCACCATCACACGTGGCCCACCTCTTCCAACACAAAATATGTAGGCCCAATTATATTAATTTCTCTAGACCCTTTAATCGTGAATTGCTTGGGCCTGCTACAGGAGTACGGGGCCTGCTGGTTCAGTACGGGGCACCCCCGTACTTGCTGATAACACTTTTTCGTCCTTCTTTCGAGCATCCACACCTTATCGTGCAACGGAAATAGCTCCAAAAATACTGAAAATCACTCAAAAACTCATCAAAGCGCGAGAGTTGACCATAATATCAAATAAGTCGAAAGATGCATAAATGCGGGGAATTAAACGTGCACAATTGTAGCATTAGATGATTAAATGCAAGCACTTTTCTTGACTAATCAACTGTATTTCTTATTATCAGATAATGGATTGTTGATTGTAATTCATACATAAGTAAATATTTTATATTTATATTTTATAAAAATACTTAATGAGATAAAAAAAAAAAAAAACATAATATTAATTATAACATAGTATCTTGAAGAAATAGAATTCTTTATAATTATTTCGAATGTGAATTTATATTTAGTTAATTTATTATAACATAAAATATTTAAAAATGTATCATTACACTTAAATAGTTCAAAATAACGGTTAGTTTTTATACTTAATAAAAAATAATCGGGAAAAGTTTGGAATAATATTAATTGGATTGTCTATATCCATACACAAATGTCTTTTACATATTCTACTTATGGCATGATTGGTACAGAGGGAATGACATGAGAATGGAATGATCATTCCCTTACTCATTCTTTATCTCATGATTGGTATACTTTTTTTGATAGGAATGACCATTCCAATGGGAATTGCAAAACTCATGTCCATGGGATTAGCCATTCCTCATCTAATGCAAGATTTTCTCATTCTCATATTTGAAGGAATCAATATTTTTGAAATTATAAATAAATATATACTATATACTACAAATCATGATTAAATTATATTAAATAAAATTATTTTAAAAAATAAATTTCAAATAAAAAATATAAAAACTTATTTTTATTTATTGTTCATATTTTAATTAGATATAATAAATACTTATATAAAAATAAAACTAAAAAATGCATTTATGAATAACTTAAAAAGATTTATTTTTTTTAAGTTTTATACATCATATATATTATATATTTATTCATAAATTGAATTATAATATAAAAAATTATATTCGACCACATATGCTTATAGGAGTTTATGTAATAATATATTTGTGTTTGTTAATATGTATATGAATACACAATTCACTAATTTATAATATATTAGTGTAACAATACAAAAATATATTTATTAAAATATAAGTATATTTTTTAAGAAATAAAATAATTTTATTATTACCACAAATTAAAAAAATAACATTAATATAAATATTATTTTTATTTTCTATAAAATAGTCATAAATGATAATATAGAATGATAATGTCATTCCATTCAGGTCTTACTAGTATTCATGATGTGCACATTTATATATATTATATGATGTATACAATATTTAAATTATTATAAAGATAGTGGATGTATTACATTTTAAATTTTGACTATATGCAAATGTATAATGTAAATATAAATTATTCAACTTACGTATGAATCTTCATATTGATGCCATAAATTTTAATGGACAATATAAATTTGTAATTTGGATGGACCATACAATTAATTAGTTAAAAAAATATTATAATTATTTTCACTATTGTTATAGCAATTATTTATGTGATTTTAAGGTGTTTAATTATGATACTCATGTCAATTAACTAATATTAGATAAAAATCGCTTAAAAAGACAAAAAAAATATTTTATTTTAAAAAAAGTATTTGAAAGAAAAAAATTGCAATAAAGTTTTTTTTATAAGTATGTAACTTCCACATACTATTTAATGTGAAATTATAATCAATTAGTATTAGTAGTAATCTATATCTATATATATATAAAGAGGAGCAACAAAGCATTAAATTATATTATCATGCATTAAATTTTATTCTCCCTCCAAAATTTTCAACATTCAATTTCATTTTTAAGTTACAAAATAACTTGTTTGAATGTCATGAATTATGAGCATAAACCAATCAAAGGAGTTACAAAATTGTACTCAAATTTTAAGTCACACCCACTCATGAAAATGGTCGGGTGTATTAGCATAAAGAAAATGATTGTAACGGCTCTTCCATAGCAATTATTTGATCAAAATCAATTTTGAGAATTATTTTCTTAATTCATATTTTTATCATGAATTAAATTATAATTTATTTTTGTTTTTATTTATATTATTATCTTTTTAAAATATTTTTCTCTGTGCAAATGCACATGTTGATTACTAGTATTATATAATAAATTAGTTTAAAATTATCATTATACTTTATTAATGTAAAATGTGACGTTTCTACATTAATTGAAAAAATGAGTAAGAAATTTATGAAGGTTTTATTAAATAAGTTTTATTTAATGCATCTGGCAGCAATTATATAGATATAGATTCCTTCTATATACCAAATATATCAATAGGAAAACTTGTTCATTCTTTTCTCATATTTATTCCATTCCTATCAAATTCTATTCCAATCTACCAACTACGCCATTAATCCTTTCCTCATGGGGGTCATTTACTTTACAAGATGGGATAAGACAAAATAATCAAGGCCACTTTCCACATCAGCATTTAATCCCTTGTTTACTTTTCGGGATGGAATTTGCCTAAAAAAATCCCTCATTTACTTTCATGGATTAATTAAGATGATAAAGAAGACAAAGACTACACTACCCTTCTGCACTAAAAACGACTCCACCTTTCTTCCCCGACATTTGTACTCAACTCTTACAACAAAAAATCCTTTTGATGATTTTGGCAAGAAATCTTCATCATTCAACTAGAGACGAATCGAGAGCAAATACTTGTCCAGATCTAACTTAGCAAACACTTGTTCAGATCTAATTTGTTCTTACATAGCCAAAAAGCCCCAATTCTTGAAATCCTATGCTCATACAAACGCAAAAGTACTAATGATAAATTTGCAGACTTACTGCATGAATTCCAGCGAGGCGCTTAGCTTCTTCCTCCACACATCCCAACTGAGCTTCAATTTTCCCGCTCATCTGTGTTTTCTTCCTCTCGATTTCATCTTCCTTGGCACGAAATGCTGCCATGGCAGATTTTGTGAGGTCCTCCTCTTTGTCTTGGGTGAGCAAAGGAATATTCGATGAGCTCAAAACCCTTCTGTTCAATTTCGAACGCAACACACTGATTAGGGCAAATGAGGATTTAATATTTATATGGTTGTTATTGTAATCAAATGGATGTTCAAGGATATTTAGGGCTTTTCATTAGCAATATCGAGGGCAAAAATGTAAGCAAAAAGTCGGGATAAAAAAATCTCGGGGTCACCCTGGGACAGAATTAATCGGCAATTGGAGGATATGTGTGTGGGGCCCGCAGCCACATGTGCGCCACATCATTTAAATTTTGTCCCAATCCCTTAAAGTAAACCTTAGATATGAAGGATATTTTTACTTATCCTATCCTGTCCCATGAAGTAAACGCCCCCATGCAGTATAAATACTATCCACTCCTTTCCTCACAAAAAATCTCATATTTTAAGCTTTTTAAAAATCAATCCTTCGATTTTNTTTTTTTTTTTTTTTTTTTTTTATCGAAACGACAGGAATAATATAGAACTCGAAGGAATTACAGAGTTTCGGGGGCCAACTGGCCCAATACAAAACAAATGAGGAAGATACTTCCTAAATAAAAGGGAGTGTTTGTAACCGTAAACGGCAGAGAAGGGAGCTCTGGATCCGTTTACCAGGTACAAACCATACTGAAAAAGAAAAAAATGACTAAATCGCAAAATTAACGAAACCACTGCCTCCAAAGGCCTAGCTCGTTAACAAGACCTAAGAAAGATGACAACACAAAAGCAAGAAATACTGAAATAAAAACTAATGCTACCATGTACAACACTGCACTAATAACTTAGATTCTATTGAATTCAAGCCACTCTTTCCAGGCTATGCTAACCGTGGCTGCCTCTGGCCTAAGTTTGTTTTCAAAAATCCACAAGTTTCTCGTCTTCCATATCCACCAAAGTAAGTACGTCGAGAGTTGTATTCTATCCTCTGAGATGGAATTATGGGGGAGAGAACAGAGGTTAAGCCACCAAGTTTTGAAGGAGTCAGTGTATTCTTGTAAGCCATCCCATGACACAGGAGCAATTTTCCATATCAAAGCGGCCCTTTTACATTTGAAAAATATGTGTTCTTGTGTTTCCTGGCCTTCCCCACAGATTTTGCATGTTGAGTCGATTTTCAGTTTTCTGGCTGAGAGGTTGCACATGACAGGGAGGGTATTGTTTAGGCATCTCCAAATGAAATGTTTGAGTTTGCCCTTGACTTTGAGGTTCCATGTTCTTTTTCTGGCTGCTTTAAGGAGATTATGATTCGAGCTTCCCTCAGGTAGGTCTAGCAAATGCCATTTCTTCTCCACCAGGTTGGCATAGGTAGAAGCCACCGAGAATTTCCCATTTCTGCTCCAAATCCATCTGATTCTGTCTGGTTTGTGAGGATCAAGACCAGAGATTTCTAGTATAGCCTCAGCTTCGTGCTTTTGGAAGTTTGCTTCTATCATCTGTCTGTTTCATTTTCTTCCTGAATCCTCCATGAGCTCCCAGACCTTTTGGCAATTATTTCTGAGGGGATTGTTGTCTGAAAGTTTAAATTTTGGCAGCTTAGGAATCCAGGGATGTCCCCAAATGTTGGTTGACTTCCCATCAAAGACTTCTATCCACAGTCCAGTTTGTATTAAGTCTCTCACTTTCAACCAACTCTTCCAGAGCCATGAACTGTTGTGCTTGGGTTTAACAGAGAAGAGATCTTGGTTAGGAAAGTACAGACCCTTGAGTATCTTACTGACCAGTAGATTAGGGTGAGATAGAATCCTCCAAAGTTGTTTGGATATGAGAGCTTTATTAAATAAATGTAGGTCATGAAAGCCTAGACCACCTTTCTCTTTAGGTATGGTTATCTGATCCCATGCTTTCCAGTGAATGCCATGTTTTGTTTTGTCTTTGTGATGCCACCAAAAATTTGAGATGGAGCTGGAGATCTTTGATGTCACTGATTGGGGCATCAAGAAGCAGGAGTATGCATAAGTGGGCAAGGCACTCAAGACAGCCTTTATTAGCACTTCTTTGCCTGCAAAAGAGAGAGATTTGTTTTGCCATCCCCCAAGTCTTTTATTCACAGAGTCAACCATAAATGCAAAAGTGTTATTCTTAGACTTTCCAATACCTAGGGGAAGACCCAGGAATTTGGAGGAAGAAACAGCTGTTAAACCTTGCAAGACATGGCAGATAGCAAGCTTGGTGTTCAGGGGAGTATTTCTGCTGAAGAAGACAGAGGACTTGGAGAGGTTCACTTTTTGGCCAGTGAGTTTCTGATAAGTATTAAGAATATCGTGCAACACAGTAGCTTGAACCAGGTCAGCTTTAACAAAAACAAGAGTGTCATCAGCAAAGCATAAATGGGTCAGAATAGGACAATGTCTCCCAAGTTTGATTCCCTGCAAAGAGCCTTTCTTCACTTCCAGATTTATTAGGTGAGTGAGTATTTCAGAGATAAGAATGAAAAGGTAGGGAGATAGTGGATCTCCTTGCCTTAATCCTCTGGAAGGATTAACATAATCACACACATCACCATTCACATTGAAAGAAAAGGAAGATGAAGAGATGCAACACATAATCCAATTCACAAATAAAGAGTTAAATCCCATTGCATTCAAGACTATTCTCATACTCTCCCATTCAACACGGTCAAATGCTTTTTCCATATCCAGTTTAATAGCCATATAACAGTTTTTACCAGTTCTGTGGTTTTTCAAAAAATGAATCACTTCATGCGCAATGATAACATTATCTAGTATTTGCCTGTTAGCAACGAAAGCTGATTGATTAGAGCTAATGCCAATCCTTCGATTTGAAAAACTAATTTACATACTTTTTCCAAACGTGCGTTAAGAAGATCTGACTAATCAAACCTCTCTAATTGAGGTCCAATTTTAATTTTAATTCTTACGTGTCCTTAACAAATACAAATATTATTGAGTATCTGGCATTTAATAATTATTAATAGTCCAATAAATTGCCAATAGAGCTCATCAAAGATGGGAAGTGAAAATTGATTATTTTTATAAGATCGGACCTACTTGGAATAGTATATATCAGTGTTCTAAAAGTCGCTAGGCGCCCGCTAGGCGCTCGACCAGTGCCTAGCGCCTAGAGCGCCTAGTCGGGGCCTAGGCGGCGCCTAGTCGGGGCCCAGAAATCAATAATAAATACCTTATTTTTTATTTATTTTAACTACCTACAAAATAAAATTATCTCAACATATAATAAATTCACACACCAAAGTCCAAATAATAATATTAATATATATTAAAGAAAACATGAGAACAAAATAATGTAATTAGTATTTAAAAAAATAAAAAAAAATTTAAAAAAAAATTGAAAAATTGCCGCCGAGCCCGCCTAGGAGCGCCTAAGTCCGCCTACGCCCGCCTAGACGCCGCCTAACCGCCTGGCCGCCGAGCCCGCCAAGGCCGCCTAGGAGCGCCTAGGGCCGCCTAGGCCCGCCTAGGCGCCGCCTAGCCGCCTGGCCAATTTCTTCTGCCGATTTGTACAAATCGGAGGCGCCCGGGCACCGCCTAGCGCCTAGGCGCCGCCTAGGCGGCCGCCTAGGCCGATTTTTAGAACAGTGGTATATATCATGAGAAAATTAAGAACAATGCAATATTAAGAGTTTTATTTCATTTTTGTATCAAAATCTTCATTTTTGTATGGGCAAGATTTGCACTTCCAAGCAACTTGTCACAAGTATATATCTGATTAAGACCTGTGCACACAAGATATTATACTAGACACGTCTCAATAATATAATATTGGCCCATATGTGCCACAAGTTGAGTATAAAACAGACAAAATAACTAATAATAAGAATACAAATGAACTAAATAATACTGCACTTTTTTAATTTCAATATCCCAATCATTATTTGCACATTTTTTATTTGACATCAACCACCCAAGAGGATGAATTGATTGGAGTGTGGAACTAGAAATAATGAGCTTGTATATACCAAATAATTCAAGTTTTGTAGTTAATGCATTCATTATTGAACTCAAATTAGGTGTGTACATTGTACAATGCTTTCATGTCACAGATCATACAAAATCTTGTATGTAGCTGCCTAACTTTATGGAAGTCGTCCATATAAAATTTATACTATAAAATGTTATATTTATATTTATTATATATTTTTAGAGTATGAATTTAATTTTAAAGTGTGTATATTCTTTAATAAATACAACTGCCTAATTGTTAAACATGTCTATACTGAGGTAATGTCAAATATACATATGATTTTGCTTTTATTTGTTTGTCTACACAATATTGCTAGAGAGAAAGTTAGGGGGTGATTATTTATGGATTTAACTAGTTTTTATTTGGTTTGTTTTTTAATTATAGTTAATTTTGAAAAAAGGTGCTATGGTTAGTTGTTAGTGGATATATTAAAAATAAAATAATTAAAGTTGATTTGATATAAAGTATGAGAAAATGATTGGAAGTGATGGTTAGTTAGAATTATGTGAGTGGATGAATAATGAATTAGAATTGATGTGATGTATAAGAATGATTAGTTGATATTATTTAATTATGTTGTTAATATTGAAGATAATGGGGTTGAGTTAAAGTTGAGTTAAATTTAAGTTTTGATTGATTTTTTACTGTTCAATTTATATCCAATCGCCCCCTTATTTTATTTGGGGGATTCAATTAATTAGTTGCAAATTACAGCTGGGGAAACAATCTTGTTTTATAGCTAATTGGTTGAGAAGTAAATTGCATCAGCTTTATCTTACATTGGTCAAAGAATATTCATTTTTTAGGGAAGAGGATTTACTTAATCTGAAAAACAAAAAGTAACTGTAAATTAATGAAAATGCCCTTCACAATAGAGCCTTGTAATCTGGGGTTTGGGTTTTGGTATATGATTTGAAGTAAAACTAGGCTCTTTGTAATTCAGCTACACCTCCAGGACAGTTTACCAAATATCATGAACTTCTATCATGAAATGTGATTTAACCAGTGAACTCTGAGAAAATAGAGACCCTTTGGATAATAATATAGCACAAGTAGAGTTGAAATCACAAGAAGCAACCAATGATTATTACAACACAAATGCAGAAACTGAAAANNNAAAAAAAAAAAAAAAAAAAAAATAGTATTTAGTTAAAACCCACAACATATTTAAGAAATTCACAGTCTCTGTGAAATCTTGCTCCACTCCTCTCCAGCTCCCTACAGTGAGACGTTACTGAGTAGCGTACAATTACGCACTTTCAGTTTCAGCTTAGGTGTCTTCTGAACGAGAAAAGGAGGCAAAGCTTTCAACTGATTACAGCTCGAAATTTTCAGACACTTGAGACGAGGCATGATCTCGAAACTTTCATCCTTGCAGCTCAAATCCCATTCTTCCCAGCTTTCCATGTTCGAAATCTTTAGTTTCTTCAGCTTTGGAAATGCCGATAATGCCCCTGACCCCGATCTCCCTTGGATTCCCAGGAAATCAAGCCCGAGAGACTTCATAGAATTCAAGCCTTCTAACTGGAGTGTGACGAGGGATGGAAATTTTCCCAAAGGAGGTAAATTCGAGCAGTTTTTGCAGTATTGCAGAACGAGTGTGCGCAAGTTTGTTAATTTCATTATCCAGTTCGGAAATTCAGTGCCCCCATATGAACTTATTTTCAAAGACTGCAAATTCCGATGCACCTCAAGAGCCTCAAGAACAACCTTATGTTGATCGACATTTCGAATCGAAGGGCTAAAATCCAAGTGAAGATCCGTAAGATGAATCATTTTGTGCAAATTTGCTTTCTTGGCCTCATTTGCATCGGTTACAAATCCGAGCCCTTCGATTTTGAGGCATCCTTGCAGTTCTTCGAGATTGTTCAAATCTTCTATACCGCATGTTGGATCAGTTGTGTCGTTACCTTTTACGATGATGAATTTGGTCAACGTTTGAAGTGATTTCATTTTAGAAATCCCTTTCGGCAACGTCTTGAGATTGTCCGTACGGTTTATCTCTAGATGCCTCAAATTGACCAATTTACCAATTTCCCGAGGCAATTTCCTTAGATGGTCACATGAAATGAGTTTCAATGTTTGCAAATTGAACAAATGACAAAGGGATTGAGGTAACTCCCAAAAGGGGTTATGGGAAAGGTTCAAATACTTCAATTTGATCAAGCTACCGACTTCTTTAGGCAATTCGCCTATTCGGTTTCGGCTCAAATCCAATGCTCTAATGCATGATAAACGATGGAAAAGATCAGGGTCCATTCGGTCAAGTTGACTTACAATAGGTGGGGAGTCGAAAAAAGATTGAACCCAAAGAGTGATCAATCTTTCAACATTCGGAACATTCCGAAAACTCGGAAAATCTTTGTCTTCACCTCGTACCACAGTCGAGTGACGAGCCTTTTTTTCAGATAAACGGATTTTTCGTTCCAAATCGCACGAGTTATTATACTCGATCACACAACATTCGTTCTTTGCAAGATATTGAGCGAAATCATGGACCATATCATGCATTTTCACACTCAAAATCCTCTTCCCATCTTTATCCATCTTCGAAATTTCAAAAAACGACCTCATCGCCAAACTTTGCAAATATTCTTGCCCTAACACCTCCACCTCGACATTCTCGTTCGACCCAAGATACCCTTGTGCCATCCAAAGTTGGACCAAATTACTCGCCTCTATAACATAATCCTTCGGAAAGAAGGCACAAAACGAGAAACACCGTTTCATATCAGGCGGCAAATCGTAGTAACTCAACATGAGGGGCGGGAAAAGCTTCTCCGCCTCCTCGAGCACCCAAAACTCGCTGCTCAAGACATTTTCCCAATCCGTTAAGGAACTCTTGAAACGCATCAAGCTCCCAATCGTCTTAACCGTCAGAGGCCTCCCTTTGCACTTATCTGCAATCCTTCTCCCGACATCCTCGAATCTCGCGAATTCCTCGTCACTCCTCTCGAAAAAAGCAATCTTTTTAAAAAGGGCCCACGAGTCTTGATCCGAAAGCTTCCCCAAACGATGCGTGTACTTGCTCCCCATGACTTTAGCAACCGTCTCGATTCTTGTTGTTACTAAAACCGAGCTTCCACATGCGCCAGAGCTAAGTGTGCCGAAAATCTGCTCCCACCTGGCGAAGTCCTCTGTCCAAACATCGTCCAAGACGAGCAAGAACTTCTTTTTCTCCAAATGGTGCCTGATTTTTCGAGTCACGGTCTCTAGCTCGAACAGATTTGGGGCAATACCTTCAATGTCCTCTAGAATGGCTTTTGCAACTCGAACCTCGTCAAAAGGGTCAGACACACAAACCCAAACCCGTTTATCGAAGTTGCTAACGACGGGTTCCGAATTGTAAACGACCTGTGCTAGTGTCGTTTTGCCCATTCCCCCCATTCCCACCACAGAAACTACATTCAAGCCCTCATCTTTTTTACTATTTTCAGACAATAATTTTCTAATTACAGCATTCTTGTCCGAATCCCGACCCTCCACCTTCGACAAATCGACATACGAAGATGTTTTAGGCCGCTCGTAGCCTGAGAATTCATCATCGCCGGTAACGGCGGTGAAATTGTACCTATCCTTTTCCTCAGCGATATCAGCTAACTTTTCGTTAATTTTATTGATCCTCACAGCTATATCACGACGAAGGGTGATTTTGTTAAACCCTAGACAAGGTAAAGTGACGAAAGAGTATACCTTTCTCGCCGGGGAAGACGAAGAAGAAGAAGAAGAAGAAGAAGAAGATTGGGGTTTATTCTCCTCGAGCCCTTCGATTTCGGCTTTTCGCATTGCGGTTATCCACTCGAACAAAACGTCGTCCGCCTCGTACGCGACGTCGTTTAGCTTCTCCAGCCAGATTTGGACCGCCTGCTCTTTCACCTGCCGTTTGCCGGCGTCGCCGAGGACGGCCTTGATGGACTTGAACTCGCTCTCGAGCCTCTTGATTTTCTTTCCGACGCCGGTGATGAGTTGGACTTCCCGTCTGATGAGCTGGTCCATGATTAATGTGAGCTCAGTTAGGACGACGCCTATGATTGGATCAGACATTAGTTTAGAATTGGATAATGCAAAAAAGGGAACTTTTGGGATTGGTTGTTGAACTTGGAGAAATGCAATGACAAAAGAATGTATAAAAGGAAGAAATTTTAATTGTTCATAGATTTGATGAACTTTAGCATGAAATTTGCTTGGAAATTAAGTGGAAATGGGAGTGTCAATCCAAATTCCCTCTATATAGTCTAACCATTTTTTTTTTTGGTACATTATTTAGTCTAACCATTAAACGGACAGTCTGACTTATTGTACAATTTTTCTAATAAAAATAGATATTTATATTATGAACTTATGATAGACTGGATCAAGTAAAAACAAGTTATGTAATAAACATGAGAGCTTTTTTTTATTTCTGTATGACACTATTTTTAATATTATGTGGTGTATCTTTGTATTACACCAATGTTATTATACGTTATGGTGCTATTTTAATAAAAGAAACATTGATTAAAGTTAGCACCAAATAGAATTTTCTTATAGCACTACATATAAAAAGATACACCGTAATTTCTATTATTCTTACGTTAAGATTTGGTTCACATTTAAATAACATCTTATATTACGAGATACTATAATTTTGTTTATATTACTTTTAAAATATGATATTTTAATTTTATATTATTCACATTAAGATTGTATGGTTGTCTAAAACCGTTGTGACTTTGTTGGAATATCATTAGGCAGCAGCGCCTTACTAGTTGTGAAATTTCTAAGAAAGTTGCAGAGAGCTAAATGGAGACGATTCTTTACTTTAAGGAACAAGCCGTGTGGGACATTCAATTGAAATAAGGAGTAATAAACTAATAATAAGATAATAACCCTCCAAAAAGCAAGTAAATAAATAAATAATATCTTGAATTTGTCATAATTACAATTTATAACAAAATATATGACCTTCGAAGTTACTGATTAAGTAATTATCACAGCGCAGAACTCGTAAAGTGACTAATTGAGGTCAAGTTAGATGAAATATTATTTTATCAATGCTAATTCCACTTTGGCTGCAGAATGCCAAATAGGCAAACAGTGTAATCATTTTGTAGTGAAAAATCACAAGAAAATGAAACCATTCCAATTTAAAACAGCTGTTGTGTAGTACTGTCTGACTGGGTCAACTAGTGGAACTTATGCGTGTTGAGTTCGCTGTCTCTTAAATAACAGTGTAAAATTCGTTGAACAAAAGACGTTGACAAAATTCTATAGTTAGACGGTGCTTTTAAAATAAAAATGTATTTTTATAATATTGAAGATGTTATATTTTTATTTTATTAATATTTTTTGAAGTATTGTAATTTTCTTATGAAAATATGTGCGTATTCAGGAATACTATATATAAAATATGTCCATAAAATGCAGATTTTCTTAACTATTAAGCACTCATATTATTAGACAAATACTATAGAGAAATATGCATACTTTTTCTTATGTAAAAAAGAGGATCATTAGTGTTCTCATTTTCCTACCTGAGTGACTCAAACTCATGATATATCGGTCACAAGTGATGCATCTTACCACTAAGTTGTGTTTAGTTCAACTCTTATATTGATTTCAAGAGTAATGCTATTTTGATATAATTTGTTAACATAAATGATAGTATATAATACGAGAGTAAAAATTATTACTTTTAAAATTATCGCGATGTATAAAATCATGGTGTGTATTAATTCAAACTTTATGTCAAGACACCTATAATAATCCCGGTCAATCACCCAAAAAATATCAAATTAATTGATAACAAAATTCCACTATTTGCAATGCTTCCATTGCATTTTCATTTCACATCCAGAAAATGAATCTCTAAACCCAAATCCCCCAATTAAAAGGAATAATGCAAAAAAAGTTCCTTTTTTTTGGTCTAAAGATCCAATTTTTATTAGGTTCTTGCATAAATTGATGCTGAAAACCATAGTATCCACCTTCCACACCGTGATGGGCTCCTCGCTCTCCCTTTCCTCGCAATCCGCCGTCGACACCATCTCCCACTGGCGCGCCAAGCCGGACCACGAGCTGATCTTCGACTCCGGCCGCCGCGACGTGCGCCACTACTTCGAGGCCGTTGACCGCCTCCGCCAGCCGCCGCCGCCCCCCTCCGGCGCCCCCAGGGTCGGCTTCACCGCGGAGCTGGTGTCCATCGCCATGGCCAGGCTCCGCCACGAGTTCGGCGCCGTCCTCGGCCGCTGGTCCGACAGCCAGGCCGCGGCCCCCGTCTCTACCACCGAGTCCAGCTTCGCCACCGACAGCACGGCCTATCTTTTCAGGTACGAGGAATACGTGGCCCACGAGCCGCCGAACGGCGACGTGGTTGCTTACCTCAGAAACATTGCTCAGAGAATGAGCTCCAACGACGATGTCAAGGAGTGCGTCGACGTCTACCGGCGCGTGAGGCGGAATTTCTTGCAGGGGCAGCTCAAACGACTGCGTTTTGAGGAGATGAGCAGCTCAGCCCTCAGCACGAGGCGGCACACGTGGGACGAGCTGAGGGTAAAAATGGAATCTTGGGCGCAAGTCTGCAAGATTTGTGTTAAAATCTTGTTTGAGATGGAGAAAAAACTGTGTGACCAGATTTTTCAGGGGCTTGTGCTTGTAGATGACATTAATTCTTGCAATAATTATGCAAAAGATCTGTGCTTTGTGGGCACAGTTAAAGATTTTGCCTTTAGCCTGTTTTCCTTTGCTGAGGCAATAATCAATCAGCCCTATGAGAGAATGGTGAAGGTATTAGGTGTTTACAGTGCTTTTGTTTGGGTTCTGCCTAGTGCCAATGCCCTCTTCAGCTCCGAATTAGGACTCTCGATTCGAAACAAATGTTCGGAAATACTCTCGGCTATCGAGCACGATTCGGCCCGTATGCTGCACGATTTCGAGCGCGCTATCCTAAACGAGGTCTCGATTTCCCCACTCGACAACCGGGGTTCGGTCTGTCGATTGACGAAGTACGTGACGGACCAGATCGCAATTATCGAGCAAAACAGGGACCTACTCGTAAATTTGATAAAACGGGCCCCCTCGTTCGATTTTGAAGACATTATCGTGCCTCGAGGGGATCTCGGGGAGGACACGAACGGGCGTAATTTCCTCGAGATTCACGTGATCTTGATCGTCTCGATTTTGCTGAAGAATCTCGATTCTAAGCGCCGGGCCCACACGCATTCCTCGTCGGGCCTTCTGTTCATGGCGAACAACTTCCGACACGTTTTACGGAGAATTGAAGGCTCGGAGGGGCTAAGGCGAATGGTCGGGGAATCTTATATGGCGAAATTGGTCGAGGGTTCGAAGGCCGCGCTCGGGAATTTCGTGGGGTCCGCTTGCTCCGGGTTCGAATCGTGCTTTGACGACAAGGGGCTTTATGTCACGCGGTGTTTCAAACCTAGGCTTTCGAGAAGTGCGGTTAGGAGGAGGATTAGGGATTTTAATCGAGCGTTTGAGGAGTTTCGGGCTTTGGGCTTGTCGTGGGTTGTGCCGGATTTGGAGATGAGGAACGAGTTGCGTAATAGGTTGCACGACAATTTGGTGCCGGCCTATGCCGATTTTCTCGACAAGTTGAGGAGTAGTACGGAGACGAGTTTTATGGTCAAGTACTCGGCCGAGAATTTCGAGGTTTTGATCTTGGAAGAGTTGTTTAAGGAGAGTTGAAGTTGTTGTGGCATGATCAAAGCTTGTAGAGAAGAGAGTCTTGTTCTGTTCTTGCTTTGTGTAGCACAGTTTTTTTTGCCACAGAAAACTGGTGATTTTTTTTGGAGGAGAGTGTGAAAATAATGGCATTGTATAACAATTATACGCATGTACAACTACAATTATGTTAGGCATCTATTTTGTTGATTTTGTTTACTCGTGTATATAGGTATATAGGAACTTGATAATCTTGTTTACACATGTATTTTGCTAGAATAATTCTTAAAATGAGTTCAGTTTGTGGCTGGAGTTTGAGGTTATCAGTATCAAGAATGGTTTTGTTGACCAATGTGTGAAATTGATTTTGGAATCTAGCATAATTCTGCACAACCACTGTATTTAACTCTAGGCCAAAAACAAAATGGTATATTAACTGAAAATTCCCATTTATGTTTGGCTGAGTTTGCATATCTTCGGATTGTTTAACAAAGACTTGAAATTCACACATCAAAAGTGCTTATCAGCACAAAAGGATACTGTTTTAGGGTGTCGTATAGCATATAAGCTCTTATTTAATTATAGTTGAGAGCCAATTTTAAATAATTTCAGTTTAGGATTATAATCCTATAACCACTGATTATAGATTAGTAAAAAAAATAGAAAAATGCTTCACTAAACCAAAAATTGGTCACACTATAAAAGCTTGCGTGATGTTTGACTTCAATGTCAAATTATTGAATAAATAAACCGTTACAGAAATTGACATGCAAAAATGATGTGAGGTAAGCTAGTTGACAAGATTATGGGCTAATGAAAAGAGTAATGTAGGCAGGCCTTAGAACATCCTCATAACTTATGGGCTCAAAGATTGTCCATCCCCCGCCCAAAAACACTTACAGCCTAGACATTTAGTCCAGCTCCAATCATGGTAGCTTGTAAAATAATAATATTTCATTGTACTTACATCACTGAATAATAAAATGAAAACACAGTGGAATATTTTCGTGTCTAATTAATTAGTATAAATTTTTTATTTTCTAAATCATCTAAATTAATAATATTCTATAAGGATAAGAACGGTTAAATAAGGCTCCCTTCATTTTTTGGTATGATATTTATTGTTAAAAACTGTTGTGAGACGGGAACAATACGAATTAAAGACGATAAAGTAAATGACACAAGATTTACGTGGTTCGGCAATATGCCTACGTCCACGGCGGAGCAGAGATCTTATTATTATTCACGATATCCCAAATACATCAATTCACCATGTATTTATATCATATCCCTACAAGGTATAAATTTACATAAATACCCCGTACCGTACCGCGGGGGCTCCGCCCCCGCACCCCCGGCCCAACTAATCGACCCAGCCCCACAAAGGGCCGATGCCTGCTCGCGGAACTCCGCTCGCTCCGCTACCCTCGCTACGCTCGCTCCGTTCCGCTCGCAGGCATCGGCCTGCCTCCTTCCTTTGTCAATATATGAGCCATATCAACAAAAACCAATAAATTGTTTGCTATAAATCAAAAGAATCTTATTAGTCTGAAAAAAAAATTAAGAGTTCAAAATTAGTCAGTTTGTTAGTAAAATAAAAATAATAATCATCGATATTCAAGCGTAAAAAATAAAGTTTTGAAAATTATTTAACATAATTTACCTAATGTAATGTATGGTCAATACGAGATCACTCATTATAATTCATCTAACAAATACATGTTACTTTTAATACATTGTGCATCACATTTTACTTTTTAAAAATTAAAATATAATTCTTGAAATTAATATAAGAGAAAGTGAGATATTATAAGTGAGTTTAATACGCTTTACTAAGCAAGCTTACTTATATTCAAGTAGTACGATTTAATTCTCAAAATTTACTTAGTAGTCATAGATTATTCTCATAATTTATACTCATACGTGGGAATTTTCTTATTACACACATTACTTAATATATAATACAATTTTAAAATTCAATGATCTGGTTTTATTGATTCTTGAACAAAATATATGTTCATGAAATAATTAAAGTAATTGATGAGTAATTAATGCGTAATGCTTAATTATGCGAAACTNTATGAGTTCTTCCTAAAAAAAGTTAAACCACATGAATTGATTCCATAAAATATTCGACTCAAAAGTAGAAGCATTCCTCAAATTTCCCTTGGAGAATTGTGCTAATTCACCACAAATTGAATATTAATCAAATTAAATAGCTTACAAATATTATTATATCTGAACAACATTAATAACGATCCGTTCAAGTAAATGAAATAAAGAGCACTCACCACAAATCCATAATATTTTTCACCATCGGCCAAGTATGTACGAGTGTCTATAAACTATTTCTGCATACTAAATTAGGTGAATCTTTGAATGTATTCTATGATTAGAATAGTCACAAACTCAGTGAACTCACCAATTAGTCCCAATTAATAAAAAGATAATCTGAATTAGTTAAATAATGTGGGCTACTTTAAATACTGTCCCCTAATTTTTAATTAAAGTCTTCCACATGATTTTAGGGGTCCCTATTATTATTAACAACAATAAATTTATAGTCAAAATTTGTAGAACATACAATAAAGTTAACTGGTCCCTGTTGGGGGCCAAGTGACAAAAAAGTCCAGCAGAAGATATATCCAATTGATTGCAATGGCAACACACCATAATTGGTGTCAATGAGTTATGTTCGTAATTAAATATTTTATAATGAACTTTAAATGTTATTTTTTGTTTCAGACTTATATCTGTTGGACTGTTTTTATGATTTTTTTTCTCAGTAAGTTTTTAAATATATATTTTTAATATCTATTCAATATAATCCAAATATAGAGGAATCGGAAATGTTTCAATTTATAATAATTATACATCATAGAAGTGAGCCACGATGTCGTTCGGTGCAAAACCACATTGAATCGCAAAATTAAAGTAGTATAATTTTCAAACAAAACCATAACTCACTACACAAAAGTTGAACTGAAAATTTTATTCACTGAAAATAACTTAGCTCAACCTATTGAATTGCACAATTCAACCATGTTTTTCAAATTTTTTATATTTTTGGATTCATTTCGTGCAAAATCACATCAAACCAAAAAACACGGGAAAAAAAAAATTGAAACACACCGCAGCACGTAAACAAATCAAATCGAAATAAATTAAAACTTTTAAATATTAAAATAATTGAATCAAACTGCATCTAATTTTTACAATTAAACTCAGTTTTGGATTTCTAGTTGATAATAATGAAGCCAACAATTGGTTCTAGTTGATTTTGCTCACCCAAATTATGAGAGATGTTTTTTGTATGTCTTTGTCACACAACTGGACCTTTTGATAACAGCTTGCAAATTGAAAGTTCTGAATTTGTTTTTGTTTCTATAATTAAATTATCCAACTATTTTGTACGAACAAACATCATAGTAAGTAAATGTTATATGTTGGACCAATGGGTAGTTGGACATAAGACACCAATATAGTTTCCAAATAATTTAATTATTTTCAACTCCCTATCTTTATCCAGAAACAATTATTGATGGTACTTACACCAAGGGATTTGTAAAATATTTCTAATTAAAAGCATAACGTATTAAGTTGACCCTATGATTTACCTAATTAACACCCGGTCAAATTTGATGGAATCCATCTTTTCAACGTTTATCCTAAATTGTACAATGCAATATGATATAAAATTGTAAATCAATATAGCAAGACAAACAAAATGGGTGCAACTTATAAGATAATTGGACTTCATTACAAATATTAGACTAAATAAGTTGCTCGTAATCTCGATTTGTTAAACTCAAAAACCAGAGATTTTAAGTAATTTTCTACTTTTAACATAATTTACTTCGTTAAAACTCGAGAGTAAATGAGCTAAACTCGATTCGACTCGATGAAAGTCGCAACCCAAAATGGATATCAGGAGTTCGAACTCGACTCAACTCATTTACAATTATACACTAGTATTCGACCTGTGCAGTTGCACATATATAAATAAAGTATTGTGAGTTAAGTGTATGCATATATTGATTAATGATTTTTCTTGAACTTTTTTGCAGTCCAAATTTACAATTAAAGGAGTTGGAATATTTATTTTTTAAATTGTGTTTATCATATTGGATGTAATGTATATTTTGGTATGTATTTTTTTTGTGAATTATTTATTATGTATTTAGGAATTTCAAATATATTTTTTATTTTCCAAAAGAAGTTAATTTAAATGTGACCACAACAATAACATCTAATCACGTTAAATAGTCAACACATTATATGGTCAGGTGTAAGTAAATCAAAAGTTTAAAATGATTTTTGTAATTTTGAAGTGATTAGTGTGTTGATTATCTAATAATGAATGAGAGGTTAAATAAATAAAAAGTAACGGTTTTTTGAGGAAAAAAATTATATTGCCACATAGGCATAATTTAAAAGGTTTTATTAAATGTACATGAGCCAACAATTATATATATATAGATATGACATTCGTGGTAGGTCATGATTAGTACTTATTAAATTAGTACCAATAATTAAAAGCATTTCCACTACCTAAGCTAAGAACTTATGCTAAGCTTAATTAATATACCAAATCAAAGCCAAATTATACATAATTAACACTAGAATTAAAAGATGCTTAACTTTGTTCCGTCATCCTCATTGTCATCACGTTAGTGCAACTTGCATGCTACCAATCCAAAAGTTGTCCTTTGTTTAGTAAAAGACAAGCCTCAATATTAATAATATGTAATGAGCAAAAACAAAAGCAAAATAAATATTAGTAATAAAAAATATTACTAATACGTATCTTGTTCAGATTGGTTGACAAATAATTAATATTTGATTGGTGGATAGTTTGCTGGTTTGCAGTTTGGCCCTTGGCATTTTACACTTTCGTAGTTTTATCCCTCTTTTATATGGAGAGGTTTTGTGGGTACTATGTAACACCCACAAATTTGCTTCTTATTAAAAACAAACGTACTTGCATTGGTCCTTTCATGTTGTGTGATTTTGATTGATGAGAGGTACCTACAATAGATTTAAACAATTTTTTTCACGTGTCACGATAAATTTATCAATCTTTTGATTTTTTTTTTNACATTCTCTCATCTCCTAGCAACGGAATAGTGAGTTTTGATAGATATATTTATTGATGTAAGATGATGAAATATATTACATTTTTTTTTTTGTAATTATGTATACAAATTTAGTTCCATTGTGTTTGATCGATGATTATAGAGTTGCAGTAGATGCGATAAACATTTTGTTATTTTCAACATTATAAGAAATTTAAACACTCGACTATTTGAGGAAAAAAAAATATTTGAATCAAACTGAATGGCGAAATATCATTTATATTGTTGTGTATTAAATTATGGAAGTCTAAATATGATGATTAAAATAAAAAAAATTGTATACGTTATTCTTCATGGCACACTAAATCTCAAATTTCACACATTATATCCATCAAACCAAACACACTATTATATCCATCAAACCTAGTGTTAAGTTCAATCTACCTTAAATGACAAAAGTACCATTAGTCATTTTTGGTGAAATCAAAATTATAAATATTTCCAAGGTAATTCAAACTTCAAAGTAGAGAGGTCAAAATACAAAAACACCAAAGTCAAAGGACATAAAGAGTAATAAAGCTCTCTAGCGGAAAGCACCAGAACAATTTTGGTAATTACATAAATAGCTCCCCATCTGAACGCAAAAGCTCAGCTTCATTCATCTTCCCCAAACACCACAAAAGCCAAAAGTTACAGCAGCAGACGAAAATGGCTGCAGATTTCTCCAAGGCGGTCGAGCTCGGCCTCCAGCTCACGAATCGAATCTACTACGGCAAGGACGCCGGAGTGCCAGCGCCGGCGCCGCCGCGTACTGTGTCGATGACGGCGGAGCCGGACTGCCACCTCCCGACGGCGCCGATGGTGTACGCGGAGATAACCGATCCGGCGTCGGTGGACAACCCGGACATCCCGAGCTACCAGCCGTACGTCCACGGGAGGTGCGAGCCACCGGCGATGATCCCGCTGCACATGCACGGGGTGTCGGTGGAGGTCGATTGCTGCCTCGACACGGCGTTCGTCACCGTCAGTGGCGCGTGGCGCGTACATTGCGTCTCTGCGAGTAGGAGCTGCTGCTGCCGCATTGCTGTACCCATGGGTGAAGAGGTGTGCCAGTTGAATGTGTTCATTTTTTTCTTTTTTCAATTGAGTCTGCCTTGGTGGGGATTTTCCTACTGTGGGATTTGCTTACATTTTTGTTTTTATCTGTGCGCTGTGTTAAATGATCTGGACTTTCGCGTATGGTGTTCGTTAAATTGACGGATAGTTGCATATCGTCGCAAAATGTGGAACGATACTAATTGATAAATTTTCATAAATAACCAAGAATCATAGTGTTTGTAGTTACATAGAGTTGACATCATGTAACATTAGTTTTGAGAATGTTTCATGATGACGGTGATATAGGTCACTCATAGACATTGAATCTTGAAATGATTTAGTTGAAGTGGTAGTATTGCCATCTGTGTATACCGAACTTGATGTTTCAGTTCTCAGTTTGGTGCAGAAAATTCATTCCTATAATAGGAAGTACTTTTCGAAGACCTAACTTTCCGAAATTTGTATGATACTTTGCTGAGTCGTAAATGTTAAATCTTCTGAGAACAAGGGGCATGGGGTGTGTTTGTATTTTGAGCTATCCTCGTACTTTCATGTTTGTTGATGTTGGGATTTTCGAGTTGCACAAGAAAGGCAAAAAAATTGGCTGGTTTCTAATGGGCCCTCTATCCTTATGTCAGTGATCACTTATAACACAAATGGTTTTATAAAGGCAATTTCCCAGAATGTAATCGTACAATATCTAAGAGAAATTTGGAATTATGTATAGTTTGGAGAAACATGCTCCGAATTTTGAGATGTCCTGGATCACTTTGATATATATATACTTTGATATATATATGTATAGGGGTTGGTTTAAATAAAAACTAGTCCTGGTGTGAGAACCGTGAGAACCATATTTGATGCTATTTTTAATAGTGTATGATGTTATTTTTGATATTACATGGTGCTATCATTTTCATAAATGCTAAATATAAATTGTGTTGCTATTTTCAATAAAATACATCCTGGTTAAAAATAGCACTAAAACACAATCAATCGTAGCACTACATACAATTAAAAATAGCGGTTCTCACGCTAAGACTTGATTCTCATTTGAACCACATCCTATATATATATATAGTTATTTTTTCCAAGTTAGCAATGTGTTACATTTTGCGAGATATTCCAGATAACTTTCATTTACATAAAACTATTCTTTGAGTTAGCGCAGTGTGTTAGTTAAAGACACACTGACATTTTAGCTTAGAGTTTGATGTTTAATGTTTTCACTTTTATTGAGCATTATTTGGCTAACAGGTTTCAGTTCTAGGTGTAGAAGTTGAAAGCCCTTTCAAGTCATACAGTACACAGTTGATCTCACTGGAAGATACAGCAGATGCAGCTAATGTAGCCAGCAGTAAAGATGGATTTCTGATAAGAGGTTGCATATACACACTTAAAATTCCTCAGGTATTTTTTTTAGATATTTACAAAAATTACCTCTCAAGGTTAGCATAATTATTAAAAGAAAGTTCAGTTAACTTCTAAAGTTATAGGTAAGCGCCCTTAATATTTGTATTTGGTATACAAAATTATCCCCACAACCTTCCTTCAATAAGTGGTGGTGCAATTTGATTAGAAGCATCTGTGTAAATTATACTTGTAATCTTGAAAGAAATTTTGGGTTTTTGGCAACTAAAGTAACATTCAAGGTTGTTTTTGTAACAACTCAACCTTTCTCGCGAGAAAGTTCTGTATAATCAATGCATGCATGTTCTTGACACTAGTTTTTATTTTACAGGTCGATGGTGGAACTATGCTATCAATCAAAGTCAGTTGGTCCCAAAAAATGTTGTATGAAAATGGAGAATTTTGCCTCAATATGCCTTTCACATTTCCTTCACATGTCATTCCCATGGTGAAGAACTTGTCTAAAAAGGAAAAGATTGTAGTTAATGTGAATTCTGTTGCCGGAACAGAAGTCTTGTTCCAGTGTACGAGTCATCCTCTGAAGGTATCACATATTTAATGTTCCATAATCATTATACATTTTAAAGAATATTTTTTTCCACACTCTTTATGATTTTACCATAAATGATAGAACATAGGTCAGGAAGGAACGAAAGTAGGATTTTCCTGCGAGAGGGAGGTTTCAGTATGGTCCATGGCTGACTTCAGATTTTCATACAATGTAAGACCAGCATGCTGCCTTTTCTGTGTTTACACTCTGCCTTGTTTTTCACACTGAATTATAAGTCTGTAGAAAGTAGCTATTGGTGATACATGATATTTGGTTTAATCTTCAGGTTTCTTCAAGTGAAATAAATGGTGGTCTTCTGTTACAGTCCCCATCTCTGCATGATTTTGATCAGAGTGAGATGTTTTGCTTTTATCTATACCCAGGGAAAAGTATAAGCAAAAAGGTATTGACAATTATTATCTCATATTGATGTCTGTAAGAAGCCCCAAAATTTAATTATATATTTGGCTTTCAGATTATTTTTAATATAACCATAAACTTCTTGTTTCTTAAAAGGATATAATTACAGAACTTATCATTCAAAATAACTTTTTATTTTTACTGTTTAGCTTTATTCTATGCTTTGTATATACTTTGTTGATGGTGAAATTTTCTTGAAAATTTTCTCATTACCTATTATTTCTATTACGATTAGTAAAAAAGTAAATGGTCCTTTAGACAGTTAGGTTCGTACGACTAGTTGTTGTTATATTACTGCTCTGTAATGTTCATGAATTAGTATGGCGCAACATTGCAGGCTTTCAGAAAAGAAGTCGTGTTTTTAGTTGACATAAGTGCAAGTATGCAAGGAAGTCCAATTGAGCATGTTAAATCTGCACTCTTGGCCGCACTTTCAAAGCTTGATCCAGCCGATACTTTCAACATTATTGCTTTCAATGGAAATTCATTATTATTTTCTCCATCTTTGGTACAAGCCACTACTAAGATGATTGAAAAAGCTTCCGAATGGACTAAAATGAGTTTTGTGGCTGAGGGTGGCACAAATATTTCAACTCCTTTGAATCAGGTATTTCAGAAGAACACAATCTAGCCATAATTAAATATATATATATATATATATATATATTATTCGTTATATATCCCCTTTTCATTCTGCTCAAATTTGCAGCAAGATACTGTGCACTAGGGGAGGTTTAACTAATTGCTGTTTGGTTGATTGCTGCATCAATGGAAGGCTTCTGTCGGAAAATATACTTTTTATTTCTTATTTCTTTTATTCAAATGTTCCTGGCATAGTGCTAATAATGGACTAGATCAAAATGGCTCAATTAAAATCTAGTGCTTCTTCTATTAGTGAAGTTTCTAGAAAAAAAAAATATATCAAACGGCGCAATGCACCTTGGGTCGCTACGGAAACAGCCTCCTTGTATAATTACAATGGTAAGGTCTGCGTACAACTGACCCCCCAGACCCCAATCTGTTGGGAATATACTGGGTATGTTGTTGTTGTTGTTACCATGAAAGTCTTTTAATTGGTCGAGTTCCCCCTCTCCAACCCAAGAGATATGTAAGAAAATTTTGTCACAAATACTGTCGTGCGCTTGTATTTTTTACCAAATGAAAGCTTCATAATGTTTGGTTGGTGTGCATGTGTAAAACCACGCTATCTACATTTTCCACCAAATGAAAAGTTTGTCTCAACCATCTATAATCTATTACATTCATCATTAATAATCATTTGCTTATGTTAGGCTATCAACATGTTCTCAAAAACTGGTGGTTTACTTCCTATAATTTTCCTCATTACTGATGGAGCTGTTGAAGATGAGAAAGACATTTGTGATGCAATGAGAGGCCACCTCATGAAGGGAGGCTTGACTACTCCACGAATTTGCACATTTGGCATCGGTTTGTGTTTGATATATATATTTTTTTCTTTTGGGTTATTTTCTTCTGTTCTATTTCTTGTTTTTTGCATTCGATATGTCTCTACGCAAATGATCGATCTTTGACATAAAGTCTATCTGCCTTGCACAATCAGGTTCATATTGCAATCACTACTTCTTGCAAATGCTTGCACAAATTGGACGGGGTCATTATGATGCTGCACCTGACATAGGTTGGTCTCAAACTTTCGGTATTATTTTATACGGTAACAGTTTTTTTTTTTTTAAAAATGCTATACTCAAGATCTGTCAGCTGTAATGAGTTAAGAACCTTGCCGCGACTATAAAACCATAAGTTTGAATCTGTAGTTTATTTTATTTGTTATTAGCAATTAAAAGTTTTGAAAGGTGAAAAATTGATTGCCTAATGTTCACTTCTCCAGGTTCGATCAACTCGAGGTTGGAAAGATTAATTAGCAATGCATCATCAGTCATACTTGCGGACCTAAGTATTGATGCTCTGAAACATCTTGATTCTCTTGAGGTATGATGAATGTGTTGTAAAATCAACCAATCCCTATTCTCTTGTTCCCTGTGGTGAAAATTATTCTACTCATTTCTGATTATTCACAGCAGTTCTCTACATATTTGGTTCATTTTCTTTTTCTATGTTTTCGTACTTGATGGCATATTTTAGTCTTTGTACTTTTTTCTTCATTGCAGATTTATCCGTCTCTTATTCCAGACTTGTTATCCGGATGCCCACTATTTATATCTGGAAGATATAGCGGAAAATTTCCTGACAGTATTGACATTGGTGGTACCTTACCAGATTTGAGTAATTTCGAGATAAATGTGAAAGTGCGAAATGCAAAGGATATCCAAATTGACAGAGTGAGCTTTCTTTGACCTGTTATCATGAGTTCATATGTAAACTTTTTGGAAGTTGGTAGATGCAATGGAAGTGCATTTGATTTCTGATTCCAAGTTATTTCCCTTCTATGGACCTTTCCATTTTACTTGAAGATGGATGTCGATCAACTTTAAGATCCCAAATAAGATAAATTATAGTATATAAGTTCAATATCGGGAGATAATCTAACCTTCACCTTTAATGGTGACAGGTATTTGCCAAGAGACAAATTGATGCACTTACAGCTAATGCATGGTTTTCAGGAAGCAAACAACTAGAGGAAAAGGTTCGTAGCTGCTGTTTCGTTTTAAAAGGAATTAAATGATGAGATATAGATAATAAACTTCTAGATCAATGCACGACACACAAACTAATGCAGACATGATAAAAAACAGACCACTTTTGATGAATGATTAGCCAGAAGATTAGCTACTACTGGAATCGATACCCAATCTCTTTCTTGATTGTGTAAATTTGAATTGACAAAAATGTCCCTTACTTGTAGGCAATGAAACTGAGCTTGCTGATGGGCGTGCCTTCCGAATACACCAGTATGATTCTCGTTGAGACTAATAAGGGCAAGTTACCTTCCAAGTCAAAAACAATGCCGGAGGTACACTTTCTTTCGGGCACTTACAAAAAAAGCTTACTTTTTACAAGTTAGTCTAGTTGGCATGACATGCTTAAGGTTGTGTTTGGTAAACCTGACTGATAAGTAACTTACAGTTTTCAAGTGAATTGCAGCTGATAGCATATGACTTATGGCTGAAAAGCTAGCTTATATGATAAAAATGTTCGGTAAAATTAGCTAGTTGAAATAAAAATTTCAATTGACTTATTTGAAAAGTTATCCTAAAAAGAAGATTATGAGATAAACTCGAGTTTTTTTTAAACCAAACCAAGCTTATTCGAGTATAGGAAACTTATAAGCTAATCAAATAAGTTATAAGCTAGCTTATATGCTTACCAAACACAATCTAAATACATAATACTGTTAGCTTAATATCCTTAGAGTAGTTAAGTTACAAAACCTGGCTTCAGTTTGCACCTACCTACTGGAAAAACTCTTTTGGGGGTTACAATTATTTTCCGCAACCTCTAACCCAACGAAAAACAAACCTCTTCAGGAAAAAGCCGAAGCCACTGGGCAAAAAATCATATACCTGCGCGGTTTGGGCCTGGGCTTCGGCAGCATCGAGGCCACGGTTGAGAACCGACCACCTGAACATGCCGAGCCCAAATTGTACGAGACTTCAGAAAAGATATTAAAAGCAGCAACCGACTGTTGCTCGAGGATGGTCGACTGTTGCTGCTGCATGTGCTTCATCCAGTTCTGTGGAAAGCTCAATGACCAGTGTGCGGTTGCTTGCACCCAGCTGTGCTCGGCACTCGCCTGTTTTGGGTGCATCGAGATGTGTTGTGAGGTGTGTTCCGGTGGATAGAGAGGTTTTTGTGCTATTGGAATTACCGAATTAGTGTTTCAATATGTAGCTTGGGACTCCATTATGTGATTGTTTGCATGAGCTTGTCAGTGTACTGTGTACATACACTTGATATTATGTATCTATCGTTTGCGGTGTTTGCTATTTCCATTGTGAAACAGCCCATGGCCAACGGGCCTTGAACCGAGCCCGTGGTTTGACCGGGCTTGTTCCGGGCCATATACATGTAATATTTCTAACCGTCTGGCCGGTTTCGAACTGGAACTAGCAGTTTGTCTTTTTTTTTTTTTTTTTTTTTTTTTTTTTTTTGTGTTTTTTTTATTATTTTTCAATTATTTTTTATTTTTATAATGAATCGAGTTGGCCCGGAACTTGCGGTTCCTGTACCGGTCCGTGTATGCTTCCGGGACTTCAAAAATGCGGTCTGGAACCGGTGGTTCCGACATTGAATTATTTTAACAAAATATACTATGCTCTAGAAGATGAAATATGGTGAAAATATGAAAATAAGAATCCCTTTTGATCAAAGGGTGGGTGCTTGAGAGAACTATTGTTAGTCATATGTTCTAACGTCTAAATTCTAATTGCTAGACTATTTTCATAGTTACAACTTACAAGTAAGTAGGGGTGAACAATGGTGCGGCTCGTGAAAAACCACACTAAACTGCAAAAAACCTACAAGTAGGGGTGAACAATGGTGCGGTTGGTGAAAAACCACACTAAACTGCAAAAACGGAAGCTAACAAAATAATAATAATAATAATAATAATAATAATAATAATAATAATAATTAAAACTGCAACTTATATAAAAATTCAATCGAAATCGAACCAAATTTTTTTTTACGCTAAACCAACCGAAATGCTGGGTTCGACTTGGTTTTTTGTTTTATCTCAATTTTTCTATGCATTTTCAATTTGGTGCGGTTCGATGCTAAATCGCAACGAACCAGACAAAATCGAAAACCAAACTTATGAAAAAAACTATAACACATATACTTGGTCTGGATCATGTACTTAGAGAATAGAGTTGTTAAAAGAAAATAAAATCTCGCGAACACACTTCATTGAGGCTCGAGAATATAGATTTTTGTGTAATTTATAGCTAGGCTCGAGTTGGTCTCGTTAAGACTCGAACTCGACTAGTTAATACTGATAATAAATAAGCCACCGAGCTCGAGCTCGTGCTAATTTATCTATTTGTTTTGTTAATGCTCGGCTCACTTCGACAAAGGCTAGAGCTTGAGCTTGCATAGAGGAGCTGAAGTTCAACTCGGCTCGTTTGCATCGTATAGACAATGGTCAATCGTGATACTTCTGAGAGTAAGAAAATTGGGCTGGATACATGCTGATCAGCCCAATACTAATGGGCCGAGAACCTCTCCTATGAACCACGACTCACGTAGCCCAGCCCAAACATCTTCTACAGTTGTCTTGACAACTGTGCAGTCGTCCTGCCACTCCCCTGAGCTTCAGACGGAGTCCAATGGCGGAGCGAGAGAGACACGAAATAGTTTTTTCCCGCCTGAAAATTTATTCAAAATCAAAAGACTAGAAAGAAAACACTCACGCAACACACGCGCACACACACACTGACACACACATACAGCAATCAGGTTGTGTGCTCTTCTCCTCCATCTTCTCGTTCTGCTTTTTGGGTGAGCAAAAACTCGACGAACATGAGTATCAATTTGCTGCGTAGCTGTAATCCTACGTATTCTTCGTCTTTTTTTGAGCTTTTGAGAGTACTGATTGGACTGGTGTATGCTTGAAGTTTGAATTACTGTATTTTGGGATGGTATAGCTTAGCCGAGCTTGGATCTAGGGTTACACAACGATAATCTTAGTCTGTTTATTTCAATTTCACATCCCTAATTTATCTCCACATTTACCAAAGGTTGTTGCCTTGTCTGCTGGGTAATTCGCCTCTTGAAATATTTGTTTTATTCTTCAATTTTTATTTTATATTTTTTAAATTCAAATAGTTTCTGCCTCAGTGCCTTGTTGGATAATCTTGGAATGTTTGAATCGTCGAGCTTCAGCTGGTGCTGGTAATGGTAATGCCAGAGGGCTTTGATTGGTAAATATGTTTGACATTATAAAGAAAACGATTTCGGATGCTGGCTTCAGCTTAATCAACAAGGTCGAGCTTCAATTAGATGAGAACATGGGAAAGAGTGTTTACATAGAGCATTCTTACCGGATGTTTTTCTCTAGGTTTGTTCGATACATGTCAAGGTATTTTGCGCTCGATGTGTTGTTGATTCGGTTCGAATAGTTTGGATGAAATGAATTTTTGTAAGTTTGAAGGTACTCATCTGGATTTTGTCGTTTAATCGTGTCCATGGTGACAGCACCTAGTAAGGTGTGTTCTGCATAACTAAAGTTTCATGTAGTATCTATTCTCAATGAATTATCGTGTGCATAGTATCAAATTTTCTTGATTAAACCTCGAGCAATGACCTCTAACTAGATAAACAACATATATGAGAGATTCTTTATTTCTTTTTTTTTTTTTTTCTTCTTTATTCTTTTGTAGTGCCAGAGCTAGTAATGGTTCTGGAGAAGGAAAATGGCATAGCTGATTTACGTGCTTTAATCGGGCCCACTGATGTAAGCAAAGCTAATAAGGTGACTCATCCAAGAAGGTTAGTTACATTGTGTGGTCATCACCACTTACTAGGTTATGTAAATGTATTGTTCCAATTTATGGCTATGTTTTATATTGATTTTTATTTTTCCTATTCAATGCTAGTGTTAGAGCTTTGCGTGGGGCTGACATAGTAAGTTGGATTCGCCGCAATCTGCTGAGAAATACCATTTCTCTTTGAGAAGTCATCTTCAGGTCAAGTCTTTTTTGCCGATCTTGACTCTTCTTTTATGTGATTAAATTGTCACGGTTTCTAATACTTGCTTGTTGTCGTGTTGTGCATGCTTTAACTTATTGATTTGTTAGCCATGTTTTGAAAAAACTATACTCAACCGAGCGGGTTTTTATTTCATTTTTTATTTTTAATTTTTCTAATTTTTTAAATTCAATGGAAATTTGAAGACATTTTTTGTTGGCAGTTATGTAACCTGGCCATATTTGTTGGTTGCAGAATGCTTGTGGACTTTATGCTTTGTCTTCAGTTTGTTTGCATGAGAGAGGGATGAATTTTACTTCATTTGAATTAGATTTTGATGGTAATGCCTATGGATCTGTCAAAAAATTCATGCAAATTTGATATTTCACGACATCTATTCTCCTAAAAATTTAATATAGCGAAGAGTGCAAAAGCGACTATCAAAGTTACCTCTATTGAAGAAAATAATCTTTTCAACTTTTCATTTCTCACAAAACTTTTATCAGCTTGCATTCTCTCTTTACATGAGTGTACCTATAGTAACTCAAAACGAAAGATACAAGTTGTATCTCGTTACATATAATGCAGTTTTTTGGAATTCCATTACCTAAATTAGAGCTGTTCTCTTTTCACGATCTTAATAGCTGCATTTGCGTTTTTGCCTGCAGGCTTTGTCTCAATGCATGATGAATTATAGTTGAGTGAGCCATGCCGTGTATTTAGTACTAAAAGAACTCGCCAAATCTAATAAAGTTTATCCATGTGGCATTAGTCATTTCATTTTATGCAATCAGTATGGCGATGAAGTTGAATACTTTTATAATGTTCATTTTTACTAATGACAAAATTTTTAAAATATGATACTAGTATCTAACTTATAAATTTAATATTATATATATTCATACAACTTAGAATAATTTAAATATTTGTCAAATACTAATTTTTATTATATTTTTCCCTATAGATTTGAAAGGTTTATGCTATAAACAAATATTATGTGGATGTAAACATGTATTCTTACCATCAAATACATGACATTAAAGTGATAAATTCCAAGTCATGATTCAAACAACTGTATTAATTATTGAATGAACAGAAAATTCATACCATTGNAACATTGAAACTATGTATTTATGTATATATTAGTTGAATATTAAATCACATATCGTGAAAATAAAAGGTTAAAAAATGAAATTCATAGTAAATAGTATTTCTACAGTGCATTGGTTGATCTTGTTTATATTGCTTATCATGACTGTACGGAATAAATAAAATAAAAAATGTGGTGACTAGAAATATTATTCAAGATTTCATGAGACTTTGAGCTAGTCAACTTTGGTTTGTGTTTATCTTATGGAGGATAGCAATCCACAGTATAACTTTCTATATTTGGAAAATCTCGATTTTCAGTTAGCAGAAATTTTGGGGTTTGATTTCTCAACCCTTGACATGAACCTAGTTGGTATGCTATGATCCACATGGCCAACATCTTTCTCTTCGGCCAAAAGATAATTAAAACTCTTGATTTGAGTGCTTTTGCAAAGCAATCATCCTCGTAACTTTGGTTCCTTGTTTAGTTTACATGCATCTCGAGGTTTATGTGGAAAATTCTATGCAAAGAAGATTAAAGAATGTTGAAGAAATAGGTGACGAATAAGATGACATTTACGTCTTAGTGAATTATATTTTATTACTCCCAAATGCACACAGTTTTGGTCCCTACTACAATATTTGATAAATCATTTTATATGATTTTGTTGTTATTTTAAAATTCCTTTTTTTTTTTTTTNCATCAGTGGTGAAGTCTTTTAAGGCATAATTGATATAAATAAAATCGATTTTGATCGAATTTAGTTGAGTGAAGGGTTGAGTAGGATTTTGAGTTTGTGTTTATACAATATTTAAAATGTAATGATGAAAGTTGATGTAATGTAAAAGTAAGAGAAAATTTATTTGAAATTATAAGTAGTTAAAAATAGGTGAGTAGATGAATAGTGAACTAAAGTTGATTTAATGTGTGAGGATGATTGATTGATATTATTTAATTACACGTATAATATTGAGGATACTTAAGTTGGATTAAATTTGAGTTAAAACGCGTAAAAAAATTAAACGGTTAGTCAAAACTGAATAATATCTGTAGCCAATCGCTTTATAGTCACAATTTGGTAAAATGATAAATAAAAGAAAAAAAATCATTTTTTTGCAATATGTAGTATGCACATTTTTGTTGTTTTATTCTTTGGATGTTGAAGGTAAAAAATTTACTAATTGCAATGTACAATAAAATTTTCTTTAGATTGCTAAGTCAAAAAATACAACTTTAGTATATGTTGCAAAAAATGATATACCTGAAATAATAATATGAGAAACTTGAAGTAATGGCTGTAATTCAAGGGTGTTAAATGAACTATGGACTTTCATAGTTCCTCAAGAATAAAATTATTTACCTTAAATAATAATATGAGAAACATGAGGTAATGGTTGTGATACAAGGGTGTTAAATGAACTATGGACTAAGTTTAATGTGTTCAATTTTCTAGTGAATAAAATTATTTGTGGTAGCTAAGTTTAATGTGTTCAATTTTCTAGTGAATAAAATTATTTGTGGTTGCTAGTGAATGTTTTCTCTTATCGTTTTCCATGCCATTCCACGTAATTCAATTTACATTCTNATGAATGATTTATTACAAAAAAAAAAAAAATAAAATAAAATAAAATAAAAATCAACTTGTTTGATTTTTCAATAAGATGGCTTGGAAAATGTTCACTCTTAAAAAACTTGAACATTATTATGTACTCTGCATGGCTCCAACCCCTTTGTTACCCTCAAGGTCAAGAGTCAAGTATAGTAAAAAAGAAACGCACTTAGTGGAGCAAGAAAGGGATATTACCTTGTAATTCTTAAACAAATTAGTGATTCGACTTGGACAAATATGGGACACTTGTCATAGATGAAAAGTCAACCGGACTTATTGGTACACGTGTTAGATGGTGGGGAGTGCTACGACAGTTTCTTGAATTACCAATTGTCTTACAGTTATGTCAAACTACCTTAATCAATATCCATTTAGGATTAGGAAAACTACTTTGAGAGATAGTAATATTGTATTATAGATTTTATTTGTTCAATAAAATAATCTATAATAGAAATATACGTCACTGTGTTTGGGTAAATTTTAAGTATCACTGATATACTTCTGAAATAATTTTAAATTCAACATTTTGATACGAAATTGTAAATAACAATGAAGTATGAATTTTATTTGTTGGGCTGGGTGCTAGTACATGGTATACTGTTTAAAAAATATTTGTGAAAAAACATGGAGCAAATTTAATAAAAATGAGATTTTAAGGATGATATGTAAAGCTCTCGTTAAACATTAATAATTAATAATTTGTCCATGTAATTGTATAAGCGTGTCAACCCAGAAGTGTTGATCTAATGCATAATTACCGTCAAGTATTAATCTAATGCATAATTTTACACATAATGTCGTGTCGTCTTGGTGACCTTATGATACAGTGCTTCTGCATGTTTTCGAGATTAACAACACTAATAACTTATAAGCCTTTTTTTATTTACCTCAAGATTAGCGTTCCTAATCACTTGGATTAGATACGTGCCACGACTTCTCCTTGAAAAATGACAACTTTTCAATATTCTAAAAGATATTAATGCAAATAGCTACAACTATACATTAATTAATTAATAAGATACATCTAATATATAAATAAAATGGGAATGTTCTTTTGCATGGCAGTGGTTTCATGAACATATTGAAACATTGAGATTCGCCACCAGTTGGAAAATCAGATTTTTTGGAAGAAGAGATTAATTGCTTCTAATATATTCACTGTAAAATATTTTTGTAACTTAGATCAATAAATTGAAAAAGCTGCTCATGAGGTTGGCCATGCTCTTCATAACATAGCTTATATATCTCTATATATTAAAACCCCCAAAACTCAAATCTCATTGGCTCCTACTATCTACTTCTCCTGGCTTTTATCCAATCCAAAAATAAATAAATCAAATCCAAGAACAAGCTTTTGCAAGATGAAGGTTGGAACTAAATTATCTTTGATGTTACTTAATGATTTGAATATATTTAGTGTTAATNCTAATCTTTGTTTTTTGTGTGTGTATGTGTGTGTGGTGTAGTTTTTTAGCTGGATGCAGAGTAAGTTCAATGGAGGAGAAGGGGATAAAAGAGCTAAGGCAGTTAATGCTACTAACAGTAAGTGGCTTTTTGTACACATTCAATATTTTTCCCATGCATTTTAATCAATATTTAGTTTTTGCCACAAATTGTATTTTGCAGTGTATAAAACTTAATACGTGTTATTTGTGTGTGTGTGATAGGGATTAAGGAAAGTGGCAAAGTTACATAATAAATAGCTAATGAAGAGTGAAATTATATTTTCTCATCCTACATTTTGAACCTTTTTTTCATGTTTGCATGACAACATAAGGTCCATGAATGAAACAAGCTTTTTATTGTTTGATCATCTGTGTATATCTCAAAATGTTGTATACTCTATTAATTAGTATCTTTGTTAATTAAATGATTAATAGAAATATGTTAATTATTTCTGCATACATTTTTGCAGATCATACAAAAAAGGAACCTCCCAAAGATGAGTTCAGCGACTGGCCCCACGGACTGCTAACAATCGGAACATTCGGCAACACTACCGAGCTACGAAACAAACAAGAAAACCGAGTAAATCAAAATTGCTCGGAAATCGAGAATGTCCCTCAGGAGGAGCTGCAGTGTTCGTCCCCAGACTTCTCGGAATTCACGGCTGAGGAAGTTGGGAAGCTAGAAAAGGAGCTGAAAAGGCTCTTGAACAAAAAACAATCTTCAAAATCGGCCGAGGACCAAATAAATGCTGACCTTCCATTGGATAGATTCCTAAACTGCCCCTCAAGCCTGGACAACCGCACGATATCCAACAGATTCAGCACTTATTCTGACGGTAAGGATGAAGAGGAGATCGAGCGGACGATCAGGATCATACTCGGGAGGTGCAAGGATGTGTGTGAGAAGAAGAAGAACAAAACGATAGGGAAAAAGTCGTTAACTTTTCTGGTCAGGAAAATGTTTGCTTGCCGGACTGGATTTGGGCCGACTCCTAGTTTGAGGGATACTTTTCAAGAATCAAGAATGGAGAAGGTATAAGCATGCAACTATTTATTATAAGCTTTTACGGTGTGATTGGAGATGGGTTTGACTGGTTTTTTATTGTTTTTTTGTTAACCGTAGTTAATTTTGAAAAAAGTGGTATGGTTAGTTGTTTGCGGGAATTTAAGTTTAAATTGAAATAATATTCAAAGTAAAATAATTAAAGCTGATTTGATGTAAAAATAGGAGAAAAATGATTGGAAATGATGGTTAGTTAAAATTATATGAGTTGATGAATAGTGAATTAAAGTTGATGTGATGTGTAAGAATGAGTGGTTGATATTATTTAATTATATTGATAATATTGAAGATAGTGGGGTTAGGTTAAAGTTGAGTTTGATTCGAGTTTTATTGTTTTTTTTTTTTGGTAAGTTTATATCCAATCACACCCTTAGTTTCTCTCGTTCGACTTTAATTTTGTAAACTGACGTGTATCTTCACCATGTAATTTGAAACGGTCGATCTTAACAATAGAGACTGTTTTAGAAGTTAGAAAGTTTTGATGGTAAACCATGCAACAATCTTTAATCATAAACTAGCTAGGTTACCATAATTCAATGTATTTATGTTAATTTTTCTGTGTTAATGTTATTGCAACTTCTAAACCTCATTTCACTTGATCTCTTGCAGCTTATGAGGACCTTGCTCACCAAGAAAATCTACTCTCAGAACTCATATAGAGCATCATCGTCGAAGAAGTATTTGGGGGACTACAGGCCCGCATCAAAGCCCGAAGAAAAAGAAGAAGAGTCGCGCGATAAAAGTCGTGCGGCCGGGTCTAAATGGGACAAGACGGATTCTGAATGTGAGTTTATTTTCTAAGAGAATAGATATTAACCTAACGGTTGAGCAGCCGTATTTTTTCTTCAAATATGCATACTCAAATCGAAGTTATCATACTAAAAAAAACTAGTGTGTGGCCCGTGCGATACACTGGAAAACAATATTTTGATTGTATTATAAATTAAATAAATAAATAATATTAATCATGATTTACTCATTATTTTTAAATTAAACCGGGTTGGACACAGTCTGACCGGATGGACCGAAAACCGGTTTATAACCAGTCTAGTGCGCTTGAATAAAATATTTGCTATTGAATCCTTCAACACCAGTCTGTTGGATTGGTAGGATTGATACGATTTTCTAAACAAATTTTGTTACATTAAAAATTATTTTAAATAAAATTACATATTTAAATAAAATAGAGATTTATAAATTGTTTATCATATAGTTTAAACATTTGAATTTATAAATTATTTAGATATTTAAGTAACACTTTTTATTTAAATTAATTACAAAAGTACTATATATATATATATATATAAAAGTATTATGTATTAAAATCTGAACAACCACAAATGATTTAATAAAATAAACTTGATCGTTTCGATGACGGTCCGGTTTTGAAAATCTTATATTTACCGTACATTAATAAAAAAATATAATAAAATAATTATTTCGTTCACATAAATAATAATAAAATGATATATAAGTATTCATAAATCATTAATCATTTTGTCATAAAAGTATTGTTAATATGATTATTTGAAGTTTGGACTACATCACATTCGCGTAATAAAGTATTTTCCATATTAAAATTTATATTTAGGTTCAGTAATCGATTTGGTCTGGTCAAATTGATACATAACTTAGTTATTTGGGACCAACCAAGTTGTTTCAAAGTTTTTTGACTATTTTAAATATCACCTAAAAGTAATTCAATCAACGTGGGCACTACCCTAATTCAATCACCCGATTGATCCAAAGTAATTTTCTTATTTTATTTAAATATAATATTTAATTTTATGAAATAAAAAAATTTTATGATTCATATGTCCACAATAAATGATAGTATATTAAGATTATAAATTATATATCTAACGATGAATTATTTATTATATTTTATGCATATTAATAAAAAATAAACATAGTAATTTAAAAAAAAAAATAAGATTAATCGATTGGGTATGCAATTTAAAGAATATTTTTAGCGTTCAATATATATATATATATATATATAAATATAAAATAAATAAATTGCTGAAAATAGTATATAATAAATGTAGTTTGACTTTTTTTACTACTATTTATGGTAAATGTTAATTCTTATTATGTATATGTATATAGATACATAAACATAAAATCAAAAATATAACATTGCACAACATAAATATGCATTTTTTTTTTTACAAAGGTATGTCAGGTTGAATAGCTTAGGCCATGTTTGTTTATTAAAAAAACTAGAATTTTTTATTTTTTGTGTTAACTAGAGTTTATTTGAAAAAAGTTAGTATGATTAGTTGTTAGTTGGATTTTAAGTTTGTATTAAAATAATCTTTAAAATATTATAATTAAAATTGATTTGATGTAAAAGTAGGAGATAAATGATTGGAAATGATTGATAGTTAAAATTATTTGAGTGGGTGAATAGTGAATTAAAGTTGATTAGATGTGTAAGAATGATTGAATGATATTATTTAATTTTATTGATAATGTTGAGGATAGTGGTGTTGAGTTAAAATTGAGATAAATTTTGAATTGAGATAATTTTTTTTCTAGTTTTTTTTTTTTTTCTAGAAATCTGATAAACAAGCAAAGCCTTAATGTCTTTAGGATGCTTTACATAAGTATTTGTGTGACTGTATCTATGTAGTTTTGTTCAAAATTGCAATTGACAAAACAATTACTGTTTTGCAGATATTGTTCTAGAGATTTAGATAAAATTCCAGTTGAAAGAGATTGCAAGAGAGGTAGTGGACTTCAAGAAACAAGAAGGTTTTGAGAAGATAATTCATGAGCTCATCAAAATATTAGCTAAAATTGGATTCTGCACAAAATCATTAATAATATATTTCTTCTTGATGGGAAGGAAAATTTTCCTGTCCCCTTTTTTTGCATGGTTGTGTCCATTTTGATGGATGTGGCACATGTTTATGTGGTATTCATATTGATTTTAGTGCAGTTTTTTTTTTATGGCCATATATTTTTTCTCGAAACACTACGGACATTTTCTTCAATTGGAAGACATTGCTTTCATTTTCATAATACAAAAACTCTATGCTAGCTAATTATAAAATGTTCTTTGATCATTTCGATCTAGCTAGTTCAAGAATATGCATGAATATATTTTGTCAATTCCATTCTCATACCCACAATTGACGGGAGTTAATATATCTACTAGGTGAAAAGATAGAAGATTAGATCACGAAATCTTAACATGTAGTAGTGGATGCGTAACTAGTCACCTATGTACTTGTAGCATTTTTCATAATTTATATACTTTGGTTTTTCTTTATTCAAGAAAAAAAAATTTGCAACAATTGTTGGGTGTTGAATAAAATTTCCATCCTAGGACTTGGACTTAGCTATGTTTGGTAAAACTAACTTATAGCTTATGCGTAATTTGCGAGCTTATAGCGCTTATGACTTATAGCTGAAAGCTAACTTATATGATAAAAGTGTTTGGTAAAATTATCTGATAAACTAGTTGGAATAAAAAATTTAATTAGTTTATTTGAAAAGCTACCTAAAGAAGCTTATGAGATAAACTCGAACTTTTTAAAATAACTCGTTTTACCAAACGAGGCTTATTTAAACAAAAGAAGTTTATAAGCTAACCAAATAAGCTATAAACTAGCTTATTGGCTTACCAAACACAGTAATCAAAACAACAGCAAAAAAGCCAAACAAAATAATAAACTATGGGCAATATTTTGTTATATCAAAATAACTAAGTTTATATAACATTAAAGGTTGATCTGTATGACACTCGGTAAATTTTTAGCTATGTCCCAATTGGTAAATTTCTTTATTCTCCTAATTCTTGGAACCCATTCATTTCCATGTTTCACTAAATTCAAATCACCTTGACAGACAAAAAAACTGTAGCCGAAGCTATATCCCAATAAAGACAACCTTAAAAATATTAATAAACCTTGCTTTATGGCCCATTACATATCATCCTCTTAAAAATGTAGATAAAGATAAATTTATTTTTTTTTAAAGATAATATTAGTTATAGTGTCCTCATTAAAACGTAATTACACAAAAGATCACCCAAATTCAGTCATTCAGATGGTTGATAAGACATCCTTATCATCAGTTGACTTTCAAAGTTAAAATAATTGTATCCGCCTTCCCAAGCTTTTGACAAGCCACTGCCCAGTGGCTTGTCATCTAACTATCAAGGCCATCAATTTGTGTCCCACAAAGAACATTAAATAAACGCTGTAACAATAAATTTCGTGTATTGAATTTATAAATACAAAAAATATTATTCAAATGAATTTCTCGAATCAAATAAATATAGCGGGTTACAATCTTCTCCACGCGCCAGTCTTGAAGTTGAACGCGCTTGAATCTTACTTCGAATCTTCAAGAATGTCTTTGAATCTTCAAGAACACTTGAATCTCGTCGAGAGAATTCTCTAGAGCTCTTGAACTAATATGAATTATGATGCGTTTTTTTTACTTTAGGGAGAGCCCCTATAGGAGGGAGAACTCTACCAAATTTAAGAACGTAGGACGAAATTTGATTGGTCCATGACTACCAAATTTAAGAACGTAGGACGAAATTTGATTGGTCCATGATGATTCACATAAGATCTTTTAGATCTCCTTTTGGTCCATGATGATTCACATAAGATCTTTTAGATCTCCTAAGATCTTCTAGAAGACATGTGATTTATTACCAAGAAATAAGATTTGACATTTGGCATTAGCATTATTTGATTGGTCAATAATTAAAATATTAAAATAAAATATCAATTAATTAACTATTTAAATTTAGGAATTAAATTTATAGAAATTCCTAAAATATAAATAGAAAATATGACTTGATTTTTAATAAATTAATTTCCACGTAGCGCCATTTGATTGGACACAATTTTTATGTCTCTAGAAATGCAACAAAACTTGCCCAAAAAAGAAAATAAAAAAATAAAATGAAAAATGCAAATCGAACTTGCAAAAACCAACATGAGGCCTGGAACCTAAATCAAGAATAGTTGATCTTATGCAATCAATATTTTAAAAAAAAAAAAGTCCTTGAGTACCCGGATTTCAACAGCCGGGCAAAGACAGGCTGGGTTTGCAAACAATTTTCCATAAGATTTGGAAACAATAGTTATCTTTCTATTGAAAACGAATACGAAGAAAAGAAAAGAAAGCCACTTAAACGGACATCAAACAGTTTAACCGTAAACAGTAGCAAAGAAGTTAAAGAAGACAAGTTACACCAAAGACAGGGTTACAACTTTCAACCTTCTCAACAGTCAGTAACAGCCTTGAAAAAGTCTTTGGTTTGGAGTGAGTCAATAGAACAACGTACTGTTTTAGATCGAGACTAGTCTTTTGTTTTTACCAAGAATTGTCATGAAGTGGTCCTCTCAAGTCTCTAGTCTATTTTGGGTGTTTAGACCCTACACTACAGCAAAGCTTCAGTTACACAAAGGGCTAAATCTCCTACAATGCTAAAGTTCAAGAAACATTAAATTCCACAATCCAAAAGCGATTAATAAGAATATAGGCTTTAAATAGTATGCCCACAAAATTTCCAAGTGTAACAACACAACAAAGATACCAAAATAACAAAAAAAAAGTAATGTTAGTTTGAACATACTAAATTCAAGAAAGGTGACTACTATAAGTAATCAAACTTCGGATTTAATGTTAATCCACAGGCAAAAAGTAACTCTTCACTCATCCAAGGCATTAGAGGTTGCAAAAGCTCAACAATTTAACCATGACATCTCAATTGAGGCCTTGTCGTGTAAATGTGTTAAGCATCATAATAATCTCAA